GCTGTCACACTGCTACACTACATACAGCTGCTGTTTGCTTGCTGTTGAGCTCAGGTATGAGCTGTTGGATTGATAGAAAGCTTGAAATTTGTGCAAGGTAGGTGCAGACTGGAACAACTCCCAGTGCAGCATTATTTGTGTCTCCAGTCTTGGAGAAGGCAGGGTCATAGCATTGATTGGGAAGTTCATCAAGTTAAAACTGAGCTCATCTGAGACTCAGAATTCACTTTTGGTTTCAGTTGAGTGAATCCTTGCATTAAATGCCCAGGGGTTTCACTCAAGTGCCCCACTGAGAATTACTTGTGTCACAATGACAGCAGCACTCAGGAGTGGTGCAGGCAGGATGCTTGGAGTGTCAGGGTTTTCATGGGAAGAGGAGGAAGACTGGAGGCTTGAGGATGCTGCCCAAGGGGGATCTCCAACCATTTTAGGAGAGGAGGGGAGAAATGCAATCTTGTCTTTAGCTCAGGAGGTGTTTTAGTTGCTGAACTTTTCTTCTACCTGATGTGAAGTTATCAAAGCAGATTTTAAGGTCACCTGTACTTGTTCTATGTTTATGTGCCTTGACTTCCCAGCATTGTTTCTAATGTCAATCTGCTGAAATGAGAAGAGATTCCAGAATCACTGGGAATGCTGGACACAGTTCCAAATATCTTCAATCAAAATGCATGTCTCATCAGTGTATAACAGAAAAAAATCTCCAGTGACAGGAGAGTGACAAATGGCCATTGGTATCTGTGTTACAGCTTTTGCAAACTGCTGGATGCATTTCTTATTGGTGCATTGCAATCTCCCTGCCAGGGTAGTGCTGCAGCACAGCTTCTGAGGTTTACTGCTCTTATGTGCTCTTCTGATGATTCTTGGATGTATATTCATTCTTTTATTGACTTACACCACCAAGGGAAGTGTTGGTAAGAGGAGTAAATGACAGAGGGAGACTTGGTTCTTTGAAATGCAGAAAGTTTAAACTCTAATAAGAACTTGAACCTTCCTTTCATCAATATGGGATTTGTTAAACTCTTATGTGAAAAAAAAGAAACAGATTTTCCCTGTGTATTTGTTTGGATGTAGGTGATAAACTGAAACATTTCCAAATTCCTTTCTACCTTCAAACAAGAGATCCTTTATGTCCTAAGAATAACTGTTGTATGACTATTTCCCTGCTTGAAAACAGCACCATTATTCTATGAAGCTGAAAGAAATAAAACCCCAACAGGAAATTGAATTTGCACCTTATTTAATGCACGGTAACAAGATAGATCATTAGAGTTTTCTTAATGAATAGCATTCACTTCTGCAGACTGAGAGACCAGATTCATAGATACTCCTTGTGTGTTCTTTTTTCTTCAGTGCTGAAATAATTTTTGCTTAACATCATGGAGTTCAACTCTCCCTGACAAAAAGGCTATGGAAATCCTAAATAATGCTCAGTAGGATCAAATCCTCTTTTTGTTGTCTTTGAAAAACTCTGATCTCTTCATTTTTATCATCACCATTTAAACTTGGAAGTGACTCAGCTTAAGAATGGTCCAGGTCCTTTGGATCCATGGGCAGCTGGATTGCTCTTGACCAGCCCAGGTTTCCATAACAGACCCTGCAGCTTTGGGAGCTGACAGCAGCCCTGACAGTATCTCCAACCTTTTGTTCTCCAAGAATGCAAAATAGAAGCTCCAGAGAGTAAAAGACAGAAAAAGCTAGTGGGTGGGTGTTTTCCATACAGTGGGAGGTAGAACTGTAATCCAGCTTATTCCACTCACAAGAGAGACAGGATGGTTTGTTTGGAATATTAAATTCTTTGATATACAGACTCTGAGAGAAAGGCTGAGTTCCTCCAAGAGGTTTTGAAGATAATGGTTTCTTTTTTCATTTAAAGAAAAATGCTGGCTTTTTTTGTCTCTATGCTTGTGGTACCTTAGGGAACAGAAATGCTCCCCAGAGTCTCCTGTTTCAGAAAGAGGGTTTTGGTCATGTAAAACAGAATTTCTCCCATCATATTGAGCAGGATCTTGGGGAATGTTTTTCTTTTGTAGAGCTATTTCTATGTGATGGATGTTTACAGAATACCTCTTGCTTTTTTGCCTTCTCAAACATGATTTGTGTATCACTATTGGCTCCACAAAGTAATTCTTTCAAAGTCATTATTCCCATCAGTATAGGAAAAAAATAGTTTCATGTTTACAGTTAACTGCCATCATTTAGGTATAAATTTTTCTTTAGTGATGTGATATGTGTACCACAGCAGTTGCTGAGATCACACCATTAGAATGCACTGTACATATGCAGAGTTCACAGCTGATTTCTCTTCACTGCCTCTGCTGCTTGAGGCATGAATGATGGTGGGCATATGGCCTTTCTTCTTAATAAAAGACAATCACAATTTATCCCATCTTTTTTTGTGGCTTTTCTATAGTGGTCATAGATATGTGTGCTAAGGCAGTATGTGTCAGCTTGAGGGGATACATTGTCAGAGCCACGACTTCTGCACAGTTGCCAAAGCAGAAAAAAGAAGGAAAAAAGAAGAAAAAGAGCTGTTCAAATCCCTTCCCTGTTACACACCACATTGTACACCAAATGTGGGTACAGTCATGTTCGTCCTTTCTGATTTGATCTCTGACTCAAAGTGAAAGCAGCCGGCTGGAATAGCATTTTCCCAACCATGGATGTTAAACAGTCTGGGTGACCCTTGTTTTTCCCATGTAGCTTAAAGCTGTGATTAGTGGTAGGAACACATGCTAAATTGACTGCAAAAACCCGTTGTAATGTGGGGTTGCCAGGGCTTGTTTCTAATTCTTGCAGATTGGTGTGTGCTTCTTGCTGTGCATATGCCAAAAATGATGAATCTGCTGGGGGCTCAAATCATGAGCACTTCTGCTTGGGCCTGAATTCATGGCTTGCCAGTGGGAGAGAATTTAACTCAGACATTCTGAGTTATTTGCAAAATGAGTTAGAGATTGGATAGAAAGAGGACTTCATAAGGAAAAGGACAGTAGAAGGAGCTTCTTTTTGATAATAGCAATTGCTCTCTGTAAAGGACTTGTGAAATATTTAGCCCCCATTTTCATCAATAGACTTGAATCCCTGTGGCCATGCATGCAAAGGTGATAAAGTCTAATAGCTGTGAGTGCATGAACCCTTTCCTTCCAAGTTTGTAGTGGTTTTTGCAAGCAATGGTCTGCCACCTCTTCACGATGCTGAAGCTGGGTTTTCAGAAGAAGCTAGAACAGAGGTGGCATTGAAAGTGAGTTTTTGATCATCCCAGCTAATTAGATCCTTGCCCAGGCAGGTAAAGGAGGCTGCAATGACTAAATGAGTTCTTCAGAAAGTGACTCTTTGGTAGAACTGGGGATCATAGTAAAGAGCCAGAGAGTTCATACATGCAGCTTCTGAGGCAGACCCAGCAGCACACTGAGAATCTTCAGCTTGAGGATGAAAAATTGATATACTTGGATGTTAAAGCTACAAGGTAAATTGCAAACTACAATTTAAATAATCACACAGACACATGAGTACTCCGCAGCACTTCATGAAATTTAGCAGCTTCTAAAGCATCTTCTAAACATTAAAGCAGAACTCTCAATTTCTACATGATTCAATGCAGAAGTATCTACCCAAAGTGACTTAGAGAAGCAGACCTGTTGTAAGTAGGCTGTGATTTTGCCTCTGGACCTACAGTGGAAAATTACTTTGTGGTCCCCAACCCAGGAAGGGCATAGGGTGCTGTGGTGTAGAGGTCACCTGCATTTTCTGCCTAACAGGATATCTTACTGTTACTTTGAAAATAATATTTTTAAACAAAATGGAGACCAGTAGGAAGAAAACAAGGACTGGAAGTGTTTGGTTTTTTTTTGTGGAGGTGTACCTAAAAAGCCAGCTTGGAACATTTTGCAGCATTTTAACAGAGCCTTAACAGTAGTTCTTTGTAATTCTCCTCAGTCACTGATAATTGAGTTTTGGCTGCTTGTGGAGTTAATGCCACTATGAAATGTAATTTGTTTGCACATGGAATAATATCACTGTTCTAAGCAGAAATGTGAAACCGGAAAAATGCTGGTACTGATACTGCTTTCCTTCTAAGCTGCGTTTTAGTACTGTTTATTGTTGTTCTATTAATTATTGTTACAGTAGCAGTCATTAGACCTCCAGGGCTGAGCAACAGACAAAGGAAATTTGCAATTCCTGCCCCAAATGCCTTGCAATTTTAATTTTTAAGGCAGGTAGCTAATAAGATACTAGCCTGTTATAACAGGGCAGAGAATGAATCTTGGGTACAGTGTCATGCTTGGGACTTGTGGCAGAAAGAGGATTTGAACCCAGTCCGCCGATAATCTTTCTGTATTTCATATTTTAATTTTTCAAGGACTGTATAACTGCAGGGATGTAGTGTACTGCTCATTTATTTTTGCTTAATACTCAGAATCTCTGATATTCAATATTTCTGGTATTTGATCTGAACATACTTGAACCTTATGAAGGGGGATGAGATGGAATTCCTTGTAGAGTTGAGTTAATGTGCTAGACTGCTGTGAAGAGTGGTTTCTCTTACTGAATTACACAGATACAGCAATATACAGAGGAGCAGGAGGAGTGCCAGAAACCAAAGTGCCTGGGAGCAGCTGGGTATAAATTTTTTTGGTGATACAGGGGAACATTGAATAGGTAGTTTCGAGTTCTTTGTTCAATCCAAGCTAAAGGCACAGTGTGAAATTCAATCTCCCGTGGCACTTTGTCTTCATGGGGTTTGGCTGTTAGAGGTAGGATTGCTTTCTGTCTCTCTGTTGACCAGAAATGCCAATGTAGGACTCTGAATATTTTCTCAAAGCAAAACAGGCACCTGGTTGTGATGTGTTCTGGTTGGAGTGAATAGGCATTTTACAGTGGAAAAACTGCCAAGTCACAGAAATCCTTGACTGGCTCTTCACCCTTTCACTGATACAATTGAGCAGCTAACATCCTTAGTAGTGTTATTTTTCTAATCTGTGTGGTTTGTTTTTTAACTCCAGTGTGTGGCTGTGACCTGGCACAAGGAGGCTTTTTCATTAAGAATGGAGAATATCTCTGCACCTTGGACTACCAGCGCATGTACGGCACCCGCTGCAATGGCTGTGGGGACTTCGTGGAAGGCGAAGTAGTGACAGCTCTGGGAAAAACTTACCATCCAAGCTGCTTTGCCTGTACTGTCTGCAAGTAAGTCATCCCTTTAAATAACGTGGTGGGAGCCCAGTTCAAGGAAAACACAAGGAAAGGTATCGCCAGGAGACACAAGTCTCAGGACATATGTCTCTTAAGGATGCATTTATTTTGTTATAAAAGATCTGCTGTGGGTCTGACTTGAAAAATCTTGAAAATGCGACTTATTTATTTAGAGGACATGGCTTTTGTTGCTCTCATTTCTGAAAGAATTAAGTGTCAGGCTTACACATTAAGGGAATGGACATGAGCTGAGTTCAGGTTATCAGCCCAGCTTGGTGGGAGAAATGAAGTGAAGCAAAATTCTGGATGCTGCATTTGAGCCCTGAGGACAGCCAAACAACCACATAAGAGCATGTGGCTTTAGGACTACTGGGATTCCCCCTCTTCCCAATCATTCTTTCTTGTCCCCAGTAAGTGAACCAATCTTCAGTTCTACAGCAAGTGAAAAGCAATTAGCTAAGGCTCTGTGGATGAGGGAACAGTGGCATTTTAATCCTATCTCTGATAAGTAGTTGAAGTACTTTGTCCTTTAGCCTGCTACATTTTTCCAGCCCTTTTCTGTTGAAAGAATTGTGATTGTTTTCTGTTTTTAAATAGTATGTGAATTTACTGCATTTCGGTAATCATACAATGTATATGTTGCAGTTTTATTTCCCAGAAACAGTGTGAAACATGACATCAATTTTCTGTACATTGACTTGCATCAATCTTTTTATGTTGAATGAACAAAAGATGAGTCATTGAAATAGATTAATGAAATTCAGTATTGCTGCTGATTTATTTTTGGGCCACTTAGAAATGGCAGTGGAAAGGAAACAACGCCTGAAACACTTTGTTTTGTTGAAATCAGCAGTTGCTCATTTGCTAAGCAGTTTTGGAGTGAGGTGAGGTGTAGTGGGGGTCTGCACTCAGCAGTTAACACTCCTTATTAAAGATCTGGAGTTATTAAATGTTGCTCATCCTCTGCTTCAGGCACCAAATAAGAGTTAACAGCAATGTCAACTTCTGCCTAGCACACATTCTTAGCATTTATGAGGGACTAGCTCCACATTCCTTCACCAACCTCAAGAACAGTTCTGATTCTTTGAGTTCTCTTCTGTATCATTTGCTATCCACAACATCACACTGAGATCATCATAAATGTAGCTGTTGTGTCTTAGCAGATTTCACTGTCTCTACTATTCAGATAAAGTATGTTTGATAATCTTTTTAAAATAAAAATACAAGGCAAGTCTAACCTCTGCTCTGCTTGCATCCATGGATTGGATTTCTTCCAGTGCCTGGCTTTGCCAAGGCCACATTGCAGAAACTATTTGGCCTGAGTTTCTGTAAAATATTGATTGCGCTGGAGGAAGGCAGAAAACTCAAGGCAGGGGGAACAGAGGAAAATTTCTGGCATAACCTTTGCAAAAATACATTTTTCTCTTGAACTTTCCAGGCGTCCATTCCCACCAGGAGATCGAGTTACCTTTAATGGAAGGGACTGTCTCTGTCAGATGTGTGCTCAGCCGATGTCCTCCAGCCCAAGAGAACTCTCTGCCTCAAGCAGTAAGTTGCCATCTCATTTCTGAAGCCTCTCACTTTTCCAGGCTCATCAACCTTTGATTGAGACTAATGTAATGCAATCTTTTGGTGGTTTTATTTTTATTCACATTTAGAAAAGTGAGCTATCTCTGGGAATTTGGTGTCGGTTTTTTTGCTCTTCATTAAGTGCCTGTTACTACAGATGGGAAGAGACAGACATTTCAGTGTGAAAAAATGACTTTTCCCCAGTGATTGGATTTTAAATTTTTGTAAAAAAAATTTGCTTTGATAGGCACCAGAAAAGTATCTAAGTGATAAAACATGAGGTTTCAAAGTCGATGGATTCTATTTCCTTAATGTCTGATTGTGCAAGTTTAAGTATTCAAAAGAGGAGGAAGTCAGAGGAAATTAATTTTCTTCTATTTAAAAATTCAATTAAATTATCCTTTAAAAGGAGTATCTCCAGGATTATGCTTCCAGTAGACTGATGCCACAATGATACTGTGATCAGAACCTCAGGAAATCATTATAACAGACACAGAAAACAAATTAAAGGGAAAGATAGAGAATAAAGAAAGTTTGGGAGGGAAGTTGGCTTGCTGTTGGGTTTTAACACTTTTAAAAGGTAATTTGTAAATTACTGATATTAATCTCTGCCTCTGGTAGTTAATTTTTTTAATCTTTGGGGGTTTCTTTCTCTGACTGCTGGATTGTACTCAGCACTCACTCAGTGCAGTTTTGTAAATCAAAATGGCTACAGCTTTCCTTGTCACACTGGGTAGTTTTCCTTCAGGGAAAAACTGTGTATTTTCTCCTGGTACTTGGCTTTGAGATCCTGGGATTATAAAGTGCTATGGAAAGACAAAGATAGATAAGGTTTGTGCTCAGTGGATGAGTCAAGTGGATATTGGGATATCTGACTTGCCTGAGAACTTATAATCAAACCCTTAGACAAGGGGAAAGTGAGAGACTTTTTTTGTTATCACACCTCTCTGTCTGGGAAGTGATGCTTTTCCACTATAATTGTAGATTTGCAGTTGAAAATACACAAGCCTAATCAGTTAAGGAAGATTTAGGAACCTGCAAAACGGCTTATAAGACCTAAACAGCAACAGAAAAGTTTATGAGGGACTTCAGGCACCCAGAGAATCCTTCTGAAACAAAGGAATGATGTGGAAATTGGTATTTAGGAGGCATAGTTGGCAAGGAACTGCAAAGCATAGGGACCTTGGACAGTACTGACATTCTTTTTCTAAGCATGCCAGAGCATAGAAGAATCTGGATCTGGCTCTCCAAAGGTGCCACACCTGTCCAACAGTGTGGCATTTGCCACATGCCTGACTCCAGGTGCCAGAATGCCCCTTGAAAATGCCAGGTTAAACTTGTCTGATACTTAGCAAGCCAAAGAGCTGATATTCACTTTCCCACAGCCATGGTCTCTACTGGAATTGCTTCTTGGCTTCCACACTGAGGCCATAGGTAGCAAGGATTATAAAACAACATTTTGTGTGACTTGGGATGAGAATTATTGAGGTTTTAATCATAATTGTGTTCTGCCAACAAACTGTTTTGCCAATACACACAGCAAGAGAGCTCCTGCTCTCAACAGCTCAGAGTGAACTACTTTGAAATCTGTAGGCACCTGCCGTGGTGCATCTTGTTCCTTTATGGACAAAGACCTCCAGAAATGTGTGGTATAGAGTTCCAGGTCATTTTAGTGCAAAACTCTCCAAAATAGACAAATAAAAATGAGAGCAGCTTACGTTATAAGCTCAGAACTAGTAAATTTAAAAAAAAAAAAACAAAAATCACGAAAACAAAACAATGAAGCATCCTCTGTCTTCAAAGACAGGATAGTTGCTGCTTTAGCTTTATGCAAAAGTTGACTTAGATACAGAAAAGTATTTTGCTGGCACCAAAGAGTTAATTTTAATTAGTGTAAAGTATTTCAGATTACTTCCAGGTTTCTATCGCTGGCTAATACACACATAATTTTTTTGAAATGCTTTACCAATTTTTGAAAGGATTTTTTAAAATACAATTCATTTCAGGAGAAATTCTGATTCACATATGCATCTATTTGATATCCTATACTGCTGTCAGCTTCCCATGATTACTTTCAAGTAGGTCACTAGAGGAGACTTTCCTTAAAACAAAGAAAATTTGAGGGAATTCAGTAGACTGCAAATATATCAGATTTGATTGCTTTGTGCAATGTGAAAGGAAGCCTTCCATCCTGGAATGTCTGCATTAATGCTGACATGCCACTTTCCCGTGTCTATTACTTCACACAAATGAAAACTTACTGACAGCTTTGCTTGGATGATTTCAAGGAAAATTAAATGTGTCTGAGTACAGGGGTTAACATATTGAATAACATGAACCTGAATATTGTTACACTCTATTGTAGTGCACAGCAGTGAAAATCAGATGGGAGAATACTAAATAATTAATTTTCCTTTTTTTGTTTAGTATTAGTTTGGTCTACATTACTTATTTACCTTATTTATATTAGTAATATATTTCTTTCACTGCACATGTGTTACCTGAAATTATAGCTATTTTATTGAAGAGCCAATTCAGTGACTCCATTTTTATTTGAAATTTTTAAAAATATCCTTTGGTATTCAGATGCTGTAGAGTGATCATATTTATAATTTAATCAGTCCTATTCCTTGGCTACTGCTAGAAATACACAGTGCACTAACTTTGGGATCTTTGTTCATTCAGCAGGAAATCTAATAGCAAATACCTGCAAATAACTTTGCAGACAAATTAAATCAGTGGTGTTTGGTTTTGTTATTGTTTTATTTCATGTGACAGCTTGATAAATGGCATGTGAACTATAAAGCAAAGTGACTGGGACAGATGTAGAGCAGCACAGAAATAGGGGACAAGTAGATAACACTGACTAAAAGTGAGGTGGTGATGCCTTGGATCGTTCAGAGCTTTCAAGATTCCATCAAAGACATGAAATTTTTTTCTTTGGGGCCAAATAAAGGAGTAATGCAATAAGGTATGCCAGTAATTGCTATTTATGTTTTAAACAGTGTCCGGGTTTTGTATTTGGTATCATGATTGCCTGGTTTGTACTGCCTTTAGTTCTTTCTACTCTCTGTTGTGTTCTGGCTGCATGGTAACACACTGTGTTTCAGGTCCATGTTGTCTCTCCAGAAAACCAGTTGTGCAGGCACCTGTTACTTCTAAATTTTGGGCAAAACTGCAACTGTGCATACATAGCTGCATAAAATACCCTCCATTGGGGCATTTTATCAGTGAATTCTCCCCAAGGCAGCTGATAAATGAACTGAGGCAGACTTTGAAAAGAAAAGTTTCCAGTTTAGCGAGACCTTAATTTTAAAAAGTACCACACTGGCTCCCATTTTTTTTGAATGCACAAGAGGCATTGTGAAAAGTCCAGCTGAGAGCAGAGCAGCTGTGCAGAGATCCCCCCACTTGGGACAGGCACAGAGGTGGTGCCAGCAGGCTGTGAACTCGAGCCAGCACTCTTCTGGCTCAGGCATCATCTTTGAAATCCAGAAGAGACTACATGTCTTTGAATGTAGTTTAAGCCTTCTTCCTCAAGAAGATTTTTTTTTTCCTTAGGAAATTCACTGTTTCCACAATTAAGCACCTCTGTAATAAGAATGTTATGTCATTTTCTACCTGAGGTTGAGCTGTTTCTCTGTTGGTTCCTTATCTGGGTGCTGGTCTGGAAGTTTCAGTTATTTCTAATTATTTTTTTTGCTGAAAGGTTGGATCATTTTAGTGATGTACATGAGCTAGCTAAGAAATTGTATTTCAAGTGAAAAGTGTTTCTTCTGGTTTAAACCTCCCTATCCAAAAGAACCTGACTCATTACAGTCACCTAACAGGAGTTTTCATTTTGAAAATTTCAACTTCTGAGATGGTGATGAAGACTTTCATCATTGTTTCTTTTCAGTGAAATAGATACTTGTGTCCTACAAACACCGAGCTACCCACTGGCGATACAGTTTGGAAAGGAGCAGAGGGAAGATATTTCAACTTTTCTTTCTTTGTAAACTGAGTCTCTCCTGTGAGTTAAGAGCTTTACAGTACAGCCAAGATGTGGCCCAGAGTTTTCAAACTGACCAACAAAGTGTTCCATGTGCATGAATAATCCTTGGTGCAGCTGTTCCCCAGCCAGCCGGCGTCCACGTGGAGATTTCACATTTGTTTTGTGTGTTTGTCCTTGTCTGTTTTGCACATTATGTTCTGGCTCAAAGAATGTCAGCTCTTGGGGACAAATGCTTTCATGCCTATCAGTACAGAGTCTGACAGGGTTGGATTTTGCCTCACAACTGGGGATATTTGCTCTATTGTGCTGTAAATAATAAGCTTAATGCTTAATGAACTTGTGGGGAAAAGATATCTTTGTCAATTATTCAATAGCCTTATCTCTTTGAAAAAGATGCAGGCAGTAAAGCTCCCAGTAAATAACTGAAACTTCCAACAAGGTTCTGGTAATACTGAAGTAAAGCAGAGCCAACATACCATACCTGCTGAAGAAGGAAGAGGTGGGAAGGAAAAAAATCTTTTGCCTCACTGCCCAGAAAGTGGCAGGAAAGTGAGCTTGTATTTGAAACAGCAGAGCATTAAAATGGAGAGGCAAATTTACTTTGTACTCTGCCTTTAAAGGCTGTTTATTTCTTAATGCAGTCCTATAGAAAGGACATAACTGTCCTTTCATTAGATAAAAATATAGGTGACTGCTGCCAGTATTCAGAAATAATGTCAGAGCTGATGTATAAGCATCACAAACTTCTCCATTAGAAATTAGCTAAAATGGATGCAAAATTCCTTTTAATCACAGTTCTTGGGAAAAGTCTGCAGCTTGGATTTGTAACTGTTCAGCTACATTTGACTAATTTGTCATTATTTTGTTCTTTATAATTTTTCTCTGGAGCTCTCTGAAAACTCCTTCGATTCCATAGAGAATTTAAAAGTGAAGAGGAAAGTTGGCTGGTGCTAAGCTAGATATCTGCAGTGATATTTGACTTTAA